GTGGGAGAACCTGGAGCGTTAGCAGGTACCGACTGACCTGGTAGAAGATTCGTAGTTTCTGTCGAGGCTCAGATAAGACTTGTTCTCTTCTGGTTTGAACATCTGTATTTACCGACTCTTTCACAGCTGCAGAAGAAAAACAGCAACACTTTCACTGCTGATGTTATAAGTCAGGTTATAATTTACGTCATAATTTAATCTAAATATTAGCTCATCCTGGATATAATCAACATGAAACACGAGATTGACACATGTGCTGAAACACAGCACACATTATCTGTGCTACACTCACTTGGTGCGTGCGTGGCTCTCAGGGTGCTGGGTCGGGTGTCCTGGTTGGTTTCGGAGTTGCGGGTGGCGAGCGGTTTGGCCACGGGTGCGGTGGAATGATCGGCGGAGTCGCTGGTCCAGCGCAGTGTGAACTGCAGAGTCGGACCCTGAGAGAAACTCTCAAACGGAGGCAAACGCTGCAAAAACAGAGCAAACGCGGCGTTTCACTACACAGATCAGCTGTGTGAACTGAGGGTTACTTCACGCACACAAACACACACCTTTCCATCTAGGATGGTCTCCCAGGTCGCCCTCTTCTTACCGACGGGACACTCCTCCATCTCTTGCATGGACACCTCGTACTCGCCGTCCAATAACTGCAGACGCCTGCACGCAAGTACACGACAACGTTTTCTCACTTCTGCTGCACAAACGCTGCAATGACACATTTTCTTTCCTGTGCCAAAAGGTGCTACTGTGTGTGCGTGTCGGTGTGTGTGTGTGTCTTTCACCTGTTTTTATCAAAGACTGTCATCTGAGCTACAAATGTGGTTTCTCCCTCCTCCCTGAGAGCAGAGCTCCTCCTTTTCCTGTTCACAGCTTCTTCTGAAAAGTCTGAAAAAGACACACGGTGGCATGAACCTCTGCTCCGCCAAACCGCCCCTCGTTTTCTGCAGGGATGTGGAGCTACGAGGGTGATTGTGTTTAATTTTTAAGTTCAAACAGCTGAAGAAATATAGACAAGCAAAATTTGCTAAGATCAGCCATAATAATCTTCTGCGAGTTAAACTGGGTCAACTAAAAACTTTGAGTGAATCAAGTCTGAAGGACCCGCTATAAACGATAGGGGTGGGAAAAAAATGGATACTGTGTAGTATGGTGATATTTTGTTTGCTAATAATGTATGGATACAGGGACAGCAGAAATCGATATTTTGTTACAAAAAGGTTTTTGTGCTCTGACTTCAGAGCATGTTGATCCTTTTTCTGAGCAAGAATCCTGACATTCCTTCACTGTCCAAATGTGTTTAACTTTTTTATGGCAGCAATAAACATGACAGTTTACTTATTTTAATTTAAGACATGTTTTATTTTAATTCAGTTTAAAACTTTTTGATTTAATGTAAAATTTTATTTTGTTTTAATTTACTTTCAAATTCTTCAGTTGCTGAAGGGGCTGCATAGTTTTCATAAACTGCATAGTTCAGAATAGCTATAATTGTACCAGATGGTTGATTCAGTTAAGTTGGACTAGACTGTAATACAAACCGTTCAGTTTGTCAACAATAAAACTGAAATGAGAGAAAGACTGAGTGTGAGACTTTGATATTAGAGAAAATGAATATTGATCAAGTTTACCTTTATGTACAGAATCTGAATATCGCAAAATATTTTTAAAAAATTGCAATAATATCGTATCGTGCGTTAAGTATTGTGATAATATCGTATCGTGGGATGTATGGTGATTCCCACCTCTAATAAACGAACTCGAAACATCACTGAACTACATCAAGACTTGCCGCACAACAGTCTCACCTCCTAACATCTGATCATTTCCACTGCAGACCAATAAGAAATCTGAAGTCGTTAAGCAAAGGGAGGACTCTTTGGCATCTAAGAAGTTGCTTTAAACTCATAATTCTACTCGCTGCTATTGTGATTGGATCCATCCAAAGTTGGCTCAATGCGTGTTACCAAAACATATGACACACATTTCCTGTCCCCTGATGATTTAAGCCCTACTGACACAATAGTTTAATTCATGTTTTCTTTTTCATTGCTTTCTGCTCCAGGCACTTAATCATGATCGCATGACAAACAAAGCAAGTTGGCTTTTTGCTACAATCCCATTTTCTTATCCTTGGTTCGTCTCGCTCCGTCAAGCTTTTGCAAAGCTGCAGAGATGAGACCCACCCAATAACCCACTCTGCCCACCTCTGCTGTGGTGAATCTCGCCATTAGCCAGCCCGTTGATCTGTGTTCGTGGATGCCCGGGTCGTGACACTCTGAAGAGCAGCGAATAAGATTTGACCATGTGAGAGTTGCTGGGTTCAAACTCGCTGCTGGGAACCAGCAGGGAGGGGTAGGAGCTCAGCTTGGCCTGGACCCCGGCGCTCGTGTCTGGGTTCAGAGGGACTTGCTTCTTTCCCGTGGGGACCTGCTTCACCGGACAACTCACGTCCTACACAGGAAGCAAGAAAAGGAAACTTCATGTGTTTCATTTAGACTTGCAAGCTGTAGAAAACCAGCAGAGGAAATTCATGACACACACCTTCCTCTTCTTGTGGCAGACTTTGACCAGGAGCACCTCCAGAGACACCGAGTTCTGCTCGTTCTCGCTGTCCTGAGAGAGTTTTCCTGCAAACAAACAACACAAAAGCTTTCCTGTTAGTCACAGTGAGATCAGTGGAAACGATAAAACAAATATGGAAAAACGTACCAGCTTTATGGAAGAAGCCAGTAAAGGTGAGCTGAAGATTGGAGGCCAAGCTGTAGAAGAGGGAAAAACATTCTGAGATATTTTTAAAACCAAACATTGTGAAGTTTGCAGCTATAAAAGGAGGCGTTCTGGTGCCAGAGAAAGCTGCATGAAATAAATAAAAATGTGAAACTTGAGAATCTCTTTTTGCTACAGCACTGTTTTCCTGCTAAAAATGGGCTTTTCGGTGTGGAGTGACTACGTACCTCAGCGGGATCGCTCCACATGTAGCTGGTGAACTTTTTACTGATATTTTGTCACTTGATAAACAAAAACGAGCTAAATGTTTTCTAGAAGCTTGGAAAAGAAAAAGCAGAGAGTCCTGCAGGACTGAGCGCTTACCTGTGAGTCTCCTGCTCCCCTCTCATCTTTTCCACTTTGAACAGAAGATTGTCAACCTTGTAATTTTTCCTGCACATGGAGACAAACGGCAGCAGTTAGCAATCGTACAACCAGCCCACTGAAAGTCCAAACATGCAGAAACTCAGTGGCAAACGTCTTGTTTCTGGAGGAAGGTCAGGTTCTTGTCCTCGGAACAAGGACGTAATCTGGATTACGGCACACTACACCCGGGGTTATCCAGCTGCAGGCAGATTGAGTGACTAGTTTTTCTTATAAGGGCTAACGACACCTCTCAGTATTAGCTTCTGTCATTTAAAATCTTCCTCCTCACACTCAGAGTCCTGAACGATCACATCTCAAAGTAGGGGCGGGCGATATATCGAATACACTGTGTGTTTTTCTGCGTACGATGGTTAAAATTTATCGTAACCATCAAGTATAAATTGCCAAACAATATTAAGCTGTCTGTCTGTAATTCACTGTGACTTTCTGTCCAGCACACTGCGCTGAGCATGCGCTTATATACTACCAGATTCAGACGAGAGGGAATGAAACTCGCTGTCGTTTGGATTCCACAAAGATGACGCCGAACAAAATCCGGTAATTTGCAAAACATGCTGCAAAAAGTAGAAGTACCACAAAATATCCCACCAGCTGAAAAGTCGTCCAATGCAAAAGTACGCTGCCTGTCAACGTCAATGTTAAATAAATGAGCTGTGATACCGGTGACTGTTCAGGTCAGGCGTTTTTATGGTCACTGTCTAGACTTTTGTTTTTGTAATTTGAGGTGATCATATTTTTTGATTTTACAATTTGTACATGTTATAAGCAAAAAAGATTATTTTCTCTCATCAATTCTTGCTTGATGTACTTTTTTTGTTGCTATGATCTTCTGTTTGTTAAAGGTCTGGTGTTGACCACAGAACGAGGTTCACTGTGACTGTCGTCATTAGAGAAAACCTCTGTGGGCAACTGATGGTTAAAAATAATGGTTAAAATAAAGCGTTTCAATTCATGTAGTAAAATATATGGTTGAAAGTAACTTTTGTTTTTGGAGTTTATTTAAACAGGGTTAGGCTTGGTTACACTTATATCGTGTTTCGCGATGTAGCCAAAAAACATTGTGATTTTATGTTCTCCTCATATCGCCCAGCCCCGTCTCAAAGACCACACAGTACCAGCACCTCTGTGCAGGCTTATACGCGTTTCCTGGAGGCAGAGTCTCGTTCTTGTCAAAATGGAGTTCTTTCTCACCACCTTCTCCAAGTGTTGCTCACAGGAGATCATCTGATTGTTTCTGTTTATACGAACCAGCGTTTTGTGACATAAACAAAAAGGAGTTGTTCTAAAACGGTGCTGCAGCCCACACTGACGGGTCACAGACAGCCAGAGGAGAAAATAAGAGGTGAAACTTAGTTGAATAATTGTATTTCCTTTGGTAAATAACAACTGTCAAACAGAAATATGCTTCATTTAAAACTGAACTATTTTGTTGATAATATCTTATAATATTTATATATTAAAAAAAGCTGTTGGAAGTGGGAAGCAAGCTTTTTTGGTTTAAAGACAGTGTGATGACAATAACAAACTAAAAAAAAAAAGCTTATTTCAGACAGAGGATTCACTGAAGACTGCACCAGGCTCAGTTTAAGATAAAGGGGGATTATTTTGAACTGTGAATCATGCAAAGCTGTTTTAACAGTCCAAGAATGAAAAAAAATGAGCAGAGTAGGTGCCCTTTAAAAAAGAAGAAGAAGAAGAAGAAAGGTAAAGGCTGTGATCTTTAAAAGCTGAAATAAACTTTTTGTCTTTGAGCTTTTAGACTCGAGTGAAGTGAGGGAAAATGCACTTTAAACGACGTGGCTGACAAAACTCTTAAATGATGTGAACACACAATAAGAGGTATCAGGTATGACATTGAATTAATATCAGCAGAAGGACGACGACATTTCTGATGTTTTGGTTTGTTTGTCTGCTTGAAAGCATTTTATTAAACTGCCAGTTTAAGTCAGCATCGCTGGCAAGTCCTGATGTGTTCTTAAATAAAATTAAACAGAGAAGCACGCCCCCCCCAGCTCATAATGGCTGCACACCGTTTGAGTTTTGTAGTGCATGTACTCTGGAGAGCTAACATAAATAAAGTCCTGTCCAGCTTTAACCTGAGCTGTACTCTAATGAGCCAAAGTAACTGAAAACAGCTGTGAGGTAACCTTCACATCTGAAGGCTGTCTTCAGGCCCAAGCAGTCTCATTTTAATGACCGCTGCAGAGGGAACTACACAAACCATTAACATCTATACGCCGCCAACCATCCAGCACCACTCTGCTGCTGCAGGACTGTAACATTCAAGCTATTATTTTAACGGAAATTTACGAGCCCAGGCATTTATATGGCTTGCTATGGATTTTATTTTTATAACTTTTCAGTGACTGATGCACTAAATGTTTTCTGAAACTTTATAGGCTTTCAACTTGCTGGTAATTCTTCCATTATTTGGCATCTTAACTGTATACAGGACATAAACATCGAAACTTTCCTTTCCTGATTGATGGTGATCCATTTGTTCCTTATCAGAGCTCCAAGTTTATCACACTGTGGCCTTCTGCTTGTCCAATCACTTTTAAAGTCTGCCCGTAGATTTTCGATTGGATTAAGATCTGTTGAAATGTTAATCTGATGTGGAGCTTCTTACCAAACTCCTCCTGGATCGCTGGAAGAAGCTGGTGATTGAGTTTTTAGCAATGCTCAGTTACAAACCTGTGATCAACTTGGAGCTCTGGAGGAAGGAACGGCTCACCAATAATAAGACTTGCCCCAGAAGCTGATCTTGAGCATGCTACCAACGATTTTAGAAGTCATGAAGAAGAAGGGTCTAAACTATAAATACTGACTATTTGTAGAGATGTGATTAGTTCGGTAGTAAGTCTTTGAACCTTATTTTTCTCTATAATCATGGAAATATGTAACAATAATATAACTATAACCTAAACAGGAACGTGTGTAATTTTGTAAATCCTTATTACGATAATGATTTAAATCATCATTAATGACCAGAGAAAATGCTCCATTAATGCTCATCTTAAAAACTCCAGTATCAGATACTATACCCCAATGTTTTAGTAGCTACAACAGCCTGGTTAGTAGCTTTAGGGTTAAACACACAAAATGAGCCAAAATACCTGAGACCCTGTACATTTAAGGCAGGCTGTGTACCCCCTTCTTCCCCCTTCTTTTCCAAGAAGCCATACAAGAGAAACTGTGTCCTGCTCAGACATTTTATTGCTGCAGAGAGAGAGACTGCAAACTCAGCTGGGCGCAGACCCAAAGATCACCTCTGTGTAGAAGGAGTTACATGAACTTCAGTTTCTGATAATCCAACCATTTAACAACCCTGCTGGTTTCCTGCTTCCTTATCTTCTGGTTATTAACGCTTTAAATAAAACAGTCAATAACTGTGGCGTGGACCTGAGTCTCTTCATCTCAAATCACAAGTTGCGTTTCATGTGACTGAAGCATGCACCACTGCAGCGCAAAGTGAAACTGAGCTGAGCAGCAGCAGACACCTGGTTCAAAACCTCCAATTCAAATCAAGAACACACACACACACACACACACACTCTAACGGCCAACAAGTCCACAGCAACAAGAGAAAACTACTGTCATGCAAAGAGAGACGAAGCAAAAATCCAAAAACCAGCAGAAAACAATGTGTTTAACCTCATAGTAGAGCTTAAAACACAAATAACAAGTGACAGCATCTTTTTAACAATTAAATTGGGTTAAAAACCTCAAAACATTCAACAATAACAGCTTAATCATGACTTAACTTGATATAACTTTTAAAGTTACATTATAGTAAATGGACTGGTTCTTACATGTCATTTTTCTACTCTACCTGTCACATGTTAATAGGTGTCTCAGTTAAATGCTGAATAACCTCATCTCTATACTCCTTTCTTTCCCACTAAATCCATAATGATTAATCTGCCCTCAAACAAAAAGCTAAATAAAGTACCACAAACTAAACCAGAGAGACGTTTGGAGGCAGCTCAGCTGCAGCTGTCACTTGCACCATTTTAAACACTTATTGAGGTATGCAAAATAAAATGCATGTCCTGCAACATAACAGAAGTTGTGACATGCCCTTTGTAATCCAATACAATCCTTCGGTGTGTCGTCTGAACCACAGACAGCCTCATGTGTATCAGCGGGATCTTTTTTTCTTCCCCTGCAGAGTCTGTATGCAAAGCAGCTCAACTGAAAAAACCTTCTCCTATCTCAGCTTTA